TTTTCCGCGGGGGGGGGGGGGGGGGTGCGCACACTCGAGATGGCAAATGCGCGGGCGCGACAACAGATGCGCGAGCCTCTTCACGCGCACGTGCTGCCGAGAAGACCAGGGTGTTAACGAAGAGCTTTTCGCTCGCCTTCCACCAGAGATTTACATTCACCCCCACTAAACTACCTCTATGTTTTCGCCTGGGAATTTTCATTTTTCTTCCTCCTATCCCGCCTCGCACTCGTCGCACCCTCTCGCTCTCACTCTATCTCTACCTATCTCTCTCTCTCACTCTCTCTCACTCTCTCTCTCTCTCTCTCTCTTACAGACTCTCTACCCCTCTCTTACTTTATCCTCACGGTCACGTTTATTGTTAATTAAAAGCCATTCGAATATGCAGTAAATCGCGTTTGAGGGGATTTTACGAGCGCAATTAGACGGGGGAGGTAGGGGGGGGGGGAGCACTCGCCCGTATTCGTTACTCATTTGTATGCGAAGTGCAGACTCATATGAGCGTTTGAAATGTACTTTTATGTTTCATCACCGGCCTGACAGATTATAGTAAACGCGCGTCGTAGAGCGAGCGGCTCTCTTCAGGCGGCGTGAGCTCACGCACGGCTAAAATAACATAAACTGTTATGTCACGGAACGCGAAATCCGTCCTGACAGCTTGAAAGACGATACTGATTTAATGGCCGGCGAGCGAACTGCCAAAGGCGAGGGAGGAGCCGCGCGCTCTTTAAAAACGTTAAAAGAAGAAAGGGGAGCAAATGGAAAAAGGGGCGATTTATCACGGAGATATCAATTTTAAGTTTCCATGTGGATTGATAGGGCCTTGCGCGTCCGTCGCAACACGACGAATCGACCCATTGATCCCGACACATTCGCCAAATGATATTTCGGTTGCCTATCTAAACGCTTGTCATCCCCATAAAGTCCTGCGCTTACAAATACATCAATTTTTCTGCCCGTTCGATGGGCCAATGCACGGGCTGTGATTTACACACCAGTGAAAACGCGTTCACCGCAAATTTATAAGCAATTCGCCATATAAATATTATGCAAACGATCGCCACCCGCGCACCGATCGATTAATCAATTCGTGATTTATGAATTTCGGGCTCGTATTATGAGAATCTATGATTTAGTGCCCGGGCAATGTCGAACGCGCACTACACCTGCTTAATAATACAGTGTAAATAAATTAATCGACTCTCATTACGAGCTTGGGCTGTTTGTTATTAAAATTTAAAAGCTCGAGGTCGAGAAAGAAAGTCGATTGGTCGAGTCGTAAATTAATCGAGGCTATCTAATTATATAAAAGTTTCAATTGTAAAGTAAAGTCGCTAATCCCTTTTTATCGAATATGAAAATCGACGGTACGATTAATAAGTAAGAAGAGGCGAGCATCGTTAAAATGCGAATATTTACTTGGTAACGAGTTCAAACGATTAAATAAGATCATAGCTCAGTGCGAAATTCAGCAGTCAATGGTGAGGCGAACTATCTCTGCCGGAAAGAATGACCGAAAAGGAGAATGCAACAAAAGAAGGAGGAAAGCCCGCGGCCTAAGTCAGAGGTACTTAAAAAAATTCCGCGTGTATCGGACAAAAAGATAGAGCGATGGATAGAGAGTGAGAGAGAGAGAGAGAGAGAGAGAGAGAGAGAGAGAGGGAGGTGGGGGGTGAGGGAGAGCGAGGGAGGATATGGTGGGGGTAGAGGGAGATAGAGAGGAGAGCGAGAGAGAGTGAGAGAGTGAGAGAGTGAGAGAGTGAGAGAGTGAGAGAGAGAGAGAGAGAGAGAGAGAGAGAGAGTTGGCGCGTATAATACAGCGCCCGTTCGCAATTTTTTGCGCAGTTTCGCGAACGCACGCGCATCTCTTCCTCTATATACGTGCTGCATTCAATAAGTGATGTCCATAAATAAACTCGCCTCGGACCGGTCGCGCGGTCGCGCAGAGCTCCGCTCCTCGGGATATTACTCGTTATAATTTACGTCAGCTTGAAAATCTGCCCGACGCTAATGCCGTTCGTGCGCCTTCTTTTCTTCTGACATGCCTCCCTCCATACCCCCGCCCACCACTCACGCCCTACCGCCACAACCACCCCGCAAAATCCTCATCACCCCCGCCCCGCTCCTTCCCGACTAACTGTCTCTCTTTCATTCCCGAGATGAGCATTATTTAAAAACCGCGCGCGACATTTAATGAATTCTTTGGAAGAAAAGTCCTAGGCCGCTTATACTTAGTACACGCTGAATGCGCAGCAGAAAATGCAAAACCCATTGCTCCATTTATCTTCCTCCTCTTTTCTCTAGCCATAACATTAACCACAATATTAACTGCTATACGATTGTTATTAATAAGACTATTCTCGTCATTGATATATGGTCTTCGTGTTAATGTTGTTATTGTAATTAGTAAGGCCGACGAAAGGGAAATAGAAAGAATTTTTTAAGTCATTCGATCAAAATTCTCTCCTCGAAAAGTTAAACTAATTATACCATTAGATATTGTATTTTCAGTTTTTTTTTTTATTATTACCAAACTATCTCTAATCAATGCTCCCTTTAATTATTCATTAATGCTCGTTCTTAATAAATAAGCAATGCTTGTGTCAAGTGTGCTATCAGTACATTATCTTCTCGATTGAACTGTAATTATATCAAACGCATCAAACAAATCAGCGACATTACATACAATAATCTACAACATTTTAACGGTTTTTAAATGAATCTAGTTCATCAAAGCTAGCACACGCAAAAGAGAATTCAGGTTTAACTCACTTTACGCGTACTGTCAGACAGTTTCAACTGAATTTCTTCCGAAACTGACCCGGTTAAATGCAAATGAAACATGTGCGGACAGACACGAATTAGTGACATTTCGTTTGTCCTGAGTTTATTCGCAATTCCCACGGTTCCTGACATTGGCCCAGCTCCTCATCTTTCTCCATTATCCATTTACGCGACAAACCCAATTACATCCGACGGATTTACAAACTTCGAGCTCTTGCTTATCGCTTTCCAGAAAATCTAATTATTTAAAGAGCACAGACTAAACAAAAGAGAGAGAGAGAGAGAGAGAGAGAGAGAATGAGAATGAGAATGAGAGAATGAGAGAATGAGAGAATGTGTGTGCGTGTGCGTGCGTGCGTGCGTGCGTGCGTGTGTGTGTGTGTGTAACAGAGAAAGAGAGAGTGAGAGAATGAGTGGGAGTAGTAGAATGATCGAGAATGAAGGAATTAATTAGCCGGCTGACATTCGCCGTCGGCAAACGTTCGATTGGCTGTGGGATTTTTCCGACCGGCGGCTACTTTGAACGATATTTGTATGTTTCACTACCTATCGTACGACAAATGAGAAAGATAATTATTTAAAACTCACCACCACATGGAGCCTCGACCGCGATTCTTGTTCGATCTCATCTCGGCGGGCAGTGCCGGGACGGCCACCGCAAGCGCGCCCAGCATCATCCAGAGCCTCATGGTCGTCATCCGGAGATCGGCACGCGGGGCGTCCGCTCGGCCCTTGGTGTTGCGTGGAAAATGTCACGGGGGCACTGTTTTTCCGGCGCACCATCCACTCACCGCGGCTCCTGTCCCAATGAACGCCGCGACATCGCGCAGCTCTCGCGCGGCTCTTACCGAAAAACCCAAAGTCCCGAGTAGGGAGAGGGGGCGGGGGGAGGGGCGGTAGCCGATCGGGCTCCGCGGGCTGGTGCGCGTTCACTCGAGGCCAGGGGCAGAGAAGAGGACGCGATAATACGGAAACAATGGCGCGGGAGGTGAGAACGGGAGGAAACAAGAAACAAGAACAACAAACACTACTTTCTTCCGGGCGCCGGCGAGTCCTCGTTCCTGAGTTGTGCCTCGGCCACCTGCGCAACTGCTGTGGGGCCCCGTCGATCCATCCGAGAGTCCGGTGTCTCCCTCACTGCCGGCTGGTTTTGGCCCCGGCGCGAAAAACCCACCCTCTCTCTTTCTTTCGCTCTATAATGGGGGTGTTACCCTCGATGGCATCGTGTACCCATGGTGGGAGAGAGAAGAAGAAAGGAGCTCCGTACCTCTGTTATACCTGCACCGACCCCCTCTCGCTACGTTCTCGTCAAGCGCTCCTTCTTATTCACTCTCTCTCTCTCTCTCTCTCTCTCTCTCTCTCTCTATCTCTCTCTTTCCTCTTTCTACATCTATCTGTCTATCTATCTACCTATTTATCTTTGTTCCTCACTTTCTCTCACTCCCTCTCTATTTCTCTGTTAGTTTCTGTCTATCTGTCTGTCTGTCTGTTTGTCTCTCTCTCTCTCTCTCTCTCTCCTTTTCCTTCTCTCCGTCTTTCCTTATCTCTCGTTCTCTCTCTCTCTCTCTCTCTCTGTCTCTCTTTGTTTCTCTCTTTCGTTTGCAGCGATTAGGTTCGTCCAAGGGAAGAGAAGCTTTACGGTTCTCCGTGGAGGGCCTACGTGGAAGAGGTCGGCGCGCGCGGCCAAGGAACGCCGGCGGTCCGCGACCAATACCCTTGGAGCAAACGAGTATATAGGCCTCTCGGCTAGCGACTGCACACGCGCTCGCCTCTGGAGGAGAGCCGGAGTCGATCCTTGGCTCTCTCGCTCGCGCGCGCCCCCGTGCGTGTGACGCGCACGCGGGGGCCCCTCATCCCCCCACTGGCTGACCCGCCGCTGAAAGAGAAAGAGAGACCCCCCGAGGACGATTAAATCTCGCCCCGCCTCTCTCGCACGGCCTCTACTTCTACCTCTCTCTCACTCTCGCTCTCTCTCTCCCACACATACGCGCGCACGACATGCTCGAAGACGCACGCATACGCACTTAATTCTTTCTCTCTATCTTTCACTCTCTCTCTCTCTCTCTCTCTCTCTCTCTCTCTCTCTCTCTCTCTCTCTCTCTCTCTCTCTCTCTCTCTCTCTCTCTCTCTCTCTCTCTCTCTCTCTCTCTCTTACTTACTCCCGCTCGCTCACGCGGAGAAGAAGAGGAACGGCCCTCTCTACCCGGCAGTTTCGAGCCTTTCTCTTGGGAGAGGCGCGCGCGACTTGTTTCCTCGAGTCTTTCAGTGTGTGACGGGGACAGAGTTCTTTTGGACGATGGACGCCCCAATTGGCGATTTTTTCTCATCTGCGCGCCTCCTAGTCGGACGCGAACGTCGAAGAGAGTCGCGTTTCCACGCTCACTTAGAAAAATTGACCACACCTACTGTCCAGTTAAACTTTACGTTAAGTTCCAAGATCAATAGATTCGTGATATACACAAAGCTGATGCTTTCTTAAGCCAAAGTGTCTGGTTTTCTTTGAATATAAAATTTGCAGAATAAATATTAGAAAAGAAGAGAATCACATAAGATTTTGATGTTTATGCAAATTTGATTCAATCTTGTGTATATTTTATGTGATTTCTTTACATTAGATATGCTACCAGAGTATTATAATATTGACATTTAAATGTAAATACTTTGAATTGCCCTTTGAAATTGAATTCCGTGCCTTGGACTTGAATAAGTGAAGATTATCAAAGTTTAAACTAAATTTGTAGCTTCCCCATATACAAAATGTCATTGAAACTTGCATTTTCGTTCCCTTGTCCTCACAACGAGCCCTCCTTTTTAACATTTTTTTTTATATTGAATTGAAATTTAAATGACTATAAACGATACAATTTGCAAATAGTAATAAAATTGTAATGATATTACAAAGCTCTCATTTGATTACGATTCCTCAGTATTACGCTTCCTTTATTAAGATTATTATACATGTTTCACAATACATATTAAAATCTAAAATGCAAATGATCTGAATTTAAATTTGAAAACATCTGTGTAAGATATATTTATCATATTTTGCCTACAATTACATATCTTACGCTTAAACTTTTTATGTCGCAGAGAAGAAAATTTTAAAGATACCTATAAATCTCTACAGAATAAATATTCTTCCATAAATTTTTCCAAATGATTTCTAAGTCTTTAGTAAAGGTTCTAGAAAAGATACCGCGACTTGAATAGAATTACGTAAGTAACATCTATCTGTCTATATGTATATACATACATACATACATACATACATACATACATATATATATATATATATACACACACACACATTATCTTGTAGTAATGAATCAACAAATAAACATTATTAAGATAAACGTTTATTTCAATTTTAATCTTTGATAAGCTACTCGCAATAATTCGCCTGTATATAGCACTGTAAAGTAAATTTTCTCGCTCCCGTATGATTGTTCAAAATTTTAAATTAAAGAAATCGCCAATGTACATATTTTTACTTGAATATTGTCAATAATTACGTGTCGTTAATTTTATAATTCCATATATATATGCACATGCATATAAATAAATAAAAATATATTGTTGTATCTTCAACGTGTTTTTGTGTGTGCGCGTGTGTGTGTTGTATGAAACGGGTAATTAAAAGGTATTAAAAAAAAAAGCGCTGGAAAAACCTTGTGGAATCGACGAATGTATAGGAGAGAGATCGACAACCGCTAAGAAACGACCCTCCAAGCCAGAGGCGAGAAAAACAGCATCGGCAAATATTGCACACCGATCGGGAAAGCCTCGTAAATAAAGTATCGGCATTTTGGCGAAGCTGGCAACGCAGGATATATAAGAAGCGGGGATCAAGCGCAAAAAAGAAGGAGCGGCATATAATCAGTTCGGCGTCTGACACCTGCTCTGGCGTCGCATCGGAGGCGCTACATTGGCGCTCCCCGGGCGCGATTCCGTAATACCGGCGAGCGCGAGCGAATATAACGAGACTCGTCGCCCGCGTCGATCGATCATCGCGCCTGCGGAGACATCCCTAGGAGCAACGCCGATACGCTGCGACGGAGGGACCTCCGCCTCGCTCGGGCTCGTAGAGCAAGAGAGTAGGATAGAGAGAGAGAGTGAGAGAGAGAGAGTGAGAGAGAGAGAGTGAGAGAGAGAGAGTGAGAGAGAGAGAGTGAGAGAGAGAGAGTGAGAGAGAGAGAGTGAGAGAGAGAGAGTGAGAGAGAGAGAGTGAGAGAGAGAGAGTGAGAGAGAGAGAGTGAGAGAGAGAGAGTGAGAGAGAGAGAGTGAGAGAGAGAGAGTGAGAGAGAGAGAGTGAGAGAGAGAGAGGGAGAGAGCGAGAGTTAGAGAAAGGTAGTGGGTGAGGGAGAGGGTATTGGTGGGAGAGGGAGAGGGTATTGGTGGGAGAGGGAGAGAGGGAGAAAGAGAGAGAGGGAGTGAGTGAGTGAGAGAAGAGAGAGGAGATAGAGGAAGAGAATGAGAGAGCTGATGTAGGAAGGAAGGCAGACACGTGGTCCTCGCTCGAGGGGGAGGCGTAGGAGGATCCTCGAAGAGGCCACACCCCTGCTACTCCCCCACCACCGGCGGGCCGTTCTCCTCTTTCCTCGCTGGCGTGTGCGTATACGTGTCGACTTTTGTCCAGCTCCCACTACCGCTCCCAGATCTTGCGCTCTCTTCTTTTTTCTCCACTCTCATTCTCTCCCGCTCTCCTTCTGCCTCCTTTGACCGATACCTATCCTCTCTCGGTGTACTCTAATTTTCTCTCCTCTCCTTTCTCTCACTTTGACCTCTCTCTACGTCCCCCTGCCTACCTCCCTCCAAAGCCGCACGATCCCTCGTCCCCCGCGCTCTCATTTTCAAGACTCGTGGGGCAAGAAACATGGTACGCGTAGTAACGAGGGGGCAACGTGGGGAGGGACACACATGGATTTGGAGGAGAGAAGAATGCGTGAGCCTAGGCGGGACTGGAGGACGAGTATGTGTGGGAACTCTCCCCGGCATGCGATCACGCGCGTACATAGTTATGGAAGCCCATGCACTTTTTACTTCAGCGCCCCGACAGTACCACCTTCTCTTGCGAAAATCCAACTCAGATTCCCGGGCTCGTCCTTTTTCTCCAGTCGGAAAGGGCTTTTTCTTGCGGCATGGGGGTAAAGGAAAGGGAACGATGGCGACTGCTGCTATAATTGAGGAGGGCGAGGGTGTGCGTGCGTGCGTGCGCGCGCGCGTCCGCGCCTCCGTGCATCCGTGCATGTGAGCAGGCGGTCAAATGAATGAGTGAGATGGAAAAAAATGACGGACGAGTTGGAAGGCTAATTTTTTAGCTGCCGTGATTTTTTTTTTTTCATTGCCACGGCCCTCGTTACTACTTGTCAAATAGTCTTGAGAATAATTGTCTCGAAGCGGAGCGCAGGACGCTGTTTATCAACGATACTTAGCTATCGATATCTGCCTCGAGTACGAGGTGAGAAGACGCGCGCGCGCGTTCGTTGAGACGGCGGATCCGTCATTTATCTAAGATAGCGTCGGCGCTGGAAAGGAGGTCAAGTTGCAGTCGCTTGCCTAAGAAGTCAGCATATTGGGAGGTGGGGGACGGACGAGTGTAATCCAGCGCCTGCAGCGCGACTTTACGCACTGCCACGCATAGGCCGAGGCCGTCTATGCGCACCGCGCAGCAGCCAATTTCGCGCAATGACTTCCAATTAAGTTTTTATCCGGCTCCCGCGCTCTCGCGCCTGCCTACATCCCATTTATTTAAGCTCTACGCGCGCGGATTTTATGGACGGGACGTAGCAGGCTGGCCGCTGCAGAGATAACGAAAGGAACACAGGACGAGGACGAAAGAAAGTGACTACTCGCTTTTTACGGAGGCGCGCAACGCGCGGATAAGAAATGAGAGAGGAGCACTATAAGCGGGAGAAGGGGAGATGGAGCAGGGCGGGCGCGAGCGAGCCAAGTATTTACGGGCGAGCAATTTATTGTTAGCAAACAAAATCCGAGGCAATTACATGTGGAATGCGCGCTTATCGTCATGGCGACCACCGAGGCGGTAGTCAAGCCACCAGCAGCTCTTTCGAGGCTCTGCCCCCAGAGCCGTTCACCGCGATCGCGCCATCCACGCCTTCCGTACCTCTTCCGTACCTCTTCCGTACCTCTTCCGTACCTCTTCCGTACCTCGTCCGCACCTTCCGCACCTCTTCCGCACCCCTTCCGCACCCCTTCCGCGTATTCGTCGCTCCATTTTGGCCCATTTCCACGAGGGTACGACCTCGGTGAGCGGAGAAGTCGCCATCGGCACAGCGTAATAT